TAGAAATTATTATTCTCGGCATTTTTCATACCAAAAAGGCCTATCCCCAGTACGGAGATATATGAAAATTAATAAAAATAGGGGAAAATAGAACCACAATCGATTTTTATTATTCGATTCGGTTATAAATTTCTGAAAATTTAAAACGCGTTGAGGTCTTGAGATACCGATATACAGTCAATTCAGTTTGGAAATGTGACCAATAATCCAAAAATCAGGCTATTCAGTTTTTATCGAAGGCGTTTCTTTAGTTTTATTATGATAATTTTTCCCACGGAGATTTTTGAACCTACTTTTACTAAGCTTATGGCAGTTTTGTACATAGTCTACAAAGACCAAATTGGAAACAATTGTATCAGCCAAGGAAAAGACAATCTTAAAATTCCTGATTTATCTCAAATTGTCTTCTCCAGACCTGGCCCATGTCTCCAACACTGCAGAAGTCCATGGAATGGTGACAATAACATTTGATTGACGATATCTCGAGCCTGGACAAAAAGTTGCGATATTTACGTTCAAACATATGGAAATTTGATCAGTTTTCTAGGTCAATTTGACCGTTGGACAAATCGGCTTCCCCTGTACAATTTTGTGATGCTCGGGTATAATTGTGCCATATAAAGTAAATACTGCCTATAAGTAAAAACGGTCGATAATTGTGCCTATAAGGGCTACGTCATGGTAAATTGCTGCCAGGAAAAAACGAAATTCAAAACCACAGACACAGTTGTTGGAAAGTTGGACTTGGATGTTCAACATACCGAAAATGACGCGTGATGGCAGAAAAACACGTACATGTAGGCTATACCAAAACGAGTACCGATATTGATACTTTTTTATAGGATATAATTTAACGCCCAATCCAAAATATTAAGTTAGTGCCACTTCCGTTGAAAAACATGCCTAAAATTCCCAAAATACAGAATATTGGTAGGGGTCTATGGTGTCTATAGGCCATTGGGCAAATTTTTATATTTGATAGCAATTTTATTTTTGATAGCAATATTTACTACAAATTATATCTTAAAATACCAAATTATAGCCAATTCGTTTGAAAACTTGCCCGAAATGTAAAAAATACTGAATGTTTGGAGGAGGGTTGGTGATGGTTATAACAACATGCTTACCTATATATCCCGCTTTCAATGTCAAATATTATAGTAGTAGTAGAAATATATGTGCAACATTTCTAAGCTCTTTCGTTATTTCGGTCATTGCAAAATCGACACAATGAGAGATTTAAAATACACTCCAACTTATGATGTAGGTTATAATTAACCAATCATTAACATCTTTGGTCAGAGCCGAATATACATTCTAAATTTCGAGACAACTGTCCCAAGACTGTGGACTGCACATTGAAGTTATAATGGACGCACTTACAAACGGCCATACATAGCTAGATCGAGCTGAATAATAGGTTGATCGGTATACCAAAACACGGATCTTGGACCAATATTTCATGACGTTACAAACTCTTGGGGCCCAACAAATAAATAGCTATGTAAAAGTTTCATAACTACTGGCAACATACAAGACATAGGATGCAATTAGGTTTCAATATTCGTAATACCAAATTACAACTAGTTGGGTTTCGAAAGGCGGCCATGATATTGGAAATATGTGTATATATTTCAGCTGTTTATTTCTATTGAAGAAAATCCTAAATATATACCGATATAGTCAATATTCAATACTAAAAAAATAGTCATTTATATCAGAGATCGATTTAAAGATCTAAATACAAAGGTACATATTCACTAACAATAGAAGATAATTTGTTACATACTTTAAGGCGCAGTAGGGTAACTATTACTTAAAATGATCATGATTTACTGCTAGCGCCATCAAGTGGTGAATAGCCAACAATATGTCTGTATGAACACATTTTAAGTATTGTGTAGCATATCTTAGGGGATGAACTGTTTTAATTCATTAAATTTACCAAGACAACCGAATATTCGGTGGGCTACACAATTGGGTTAGAGTTACACGTCATCCCTAAATTGTCATCAAAAGATTTTATTTTTTTAAAGGTAACTAAAGTTATTGCTAAATATTTTTGTATTGTTGTTTTATATCTTTTTAAATATATGTTGGCAGATTTAAAAAAATCGGTTTTCCGGTTTTTGCAAATTGTAGGTCTTATGCAGTCATTCCATATTATTTTTGATCGCGTCTTCTATAATTAAAAGGAATTCGATATTTTTTTCCTTTTAAACAAGGGAATTTTAAGGGCATGTAATAGTCCTTAGAATGATTGTATACCTCCTGTAAACCATTTATTCATGTGATAGGTCCTTTATAAATGGAATTATTTTCAATGTAATACAGGATAAAAAAAAAAAACTTTTTAAATGTCTAAGAATTCATTTCCTTATGTATATGACGTTCTATAATCATAGAAGAATATGCAGTCAACGTCCGTTATAACGAATACTCTGCTCAACGAATTCGGGATATAACAAATGATCAAAATAGTCGATATTTTAAACTGATTACCGTATATTTTCGATATAACGAATGAGCCTCACAATATATAACAAATATTCACCGTTTTGTTATATGATTTGTTGCCATTTTAAAGGTAACTTCATAATGCCTCTCTCATAGAAGTCCTGCTCTCTATTTGCAAAAAAACTCTAGTAATCGATTTTCACAATCCTACCTAGATACCAATTGTTTTTATCATTAAAGAAATTTTGCAATGCAAGAAATAGATGATAATCGCTTGGCTCGGACTGTCATGCCGATGGATTAAAACTTCCCATCCAAGCTCCCAAAGTTTCTGGCGAGTCACTGTAGATGTGTGTGGCCTAGCGTTGTCCTGGTGGAACACAACAACTCTCCTGTTGGACAATTATGTTCGTTTCTGGTCAATTGCTATCTTCAAACGGTCCAGTGGTTGACAGTAGAGATCAGAATTTAGCGTTTGCTCATATGGAAGCAACTCATAATAAATAATCCCCTCCCAGTCCCACCAAATGTCCAAGTCCAGGTTTGGCCACCGTTTGAGGTGTTTCACCGCTCTTTGACCACGATCGTCTCCAGTCAACAGCCGTTTAAGAATTGGATCTCTCATTCCGTTTGGCCAAGGCTTCACAGATGGAAATTCGATCCATCCAATGTTTTTCTGTTAATTGGTGTAGCACCTAAACATCGAGCTTCTTTTTGAATCCAGGTTTGTGTAATGGCGATGTTACTACTGCTAACATGCCGGTCAACTTCCTATTTTAGGACTAAGAGACAAAGGCATTTTAGTAAATCTATTTTGAATAGATGATCTTCCGTAATCTTCTTCCTTAATTAGAACTTCTTAAGATTAATTGAATTTTACGAGGAAAATATCTTCGATAGAACTTTGATAGATGGAAACAGATGGTTTATAAAATTTTGTATTTTAAAAATCTTTTATATGTCCCAATATGTGATTTTGATTTTACTGATAACCGTAAAACGTTCTTCTATTGACAAAATGGAGCCTTTTTTGATATTTAAAAAAATAAAAATACCTCTTATGCGCTCTAATTTCCATATGGCATTCACCACAATGTAGTTATTCTGTTGCCACATTCTGTTTGCCACACCTCGAAATATTCTTCGGAACCTCATAAAGTAAATATTCTTGATCGGAATAAAATTCTTTGTGGATTTAGCCGCGTCTGTTTTATATCATGATATCACAATAGACATCTAAATAATCAAAAAATTGAAATATAAACACTTCTGCTACTACTTTAAGAGATATTTTTAGACGAAGGATGTAATTTTTTTCCAGAAAGTTAGACATATAGTCTCAATATAAAGATCCTGTTCATTTTAGGCTGCAGTTTCCAAACGAAGGGGTATTGATTTGGTATTTTAAATTCTTAATCGATAAATAGCCTACTTCCTGGCAATACATGTTTAGTCTTTTATGCAGCCACTGTATAATTCCGTTTTCATGGTCTTCTTAGAAAATATTCAATATAGGGCCAAGTTTTTTCATAGCCCCCTAAAAGAAGATCCTATCCTTTTCGGGTGTTTTCTTAGTCCTACGTGCAGTTTGTAATCAGTTACTTTGACAGAGCTTATATGTAAAAGATCCTTTTTTTGTCAGAGCCCATATGTTAAGATCCTGTTCTACTTTTGGTATTTTGATTATCTTAGAATCAAATTCTAACCGAAGTAGATGTAAGGAAGTATTCTTGATTTTGAGGGAATAAATAAATTTCTTCGTACAAAATTTTCAATATAGGTTAATTTTTTACATAACCCGACACAAAGATACCCCTTAATGATCGGTATTTTGAAATTTTTAGCCTTATTTTGAAGTTTCTTTAATTTGGTATTTTAATTTTTGCAGAGAAAAAAAACTCTTCTTGGAGACAATCTGTATATAAATTTAAGAATCCTGATCAATTTTAGGTATTTTGAATGGAGGATAAAAATGTTCGGTAAGGACGAGCATAATTACACTTTTAAAGATTTTGGAAAAAATAGAATATTCAACATTTGTGTCAAAAAGGTATTCAATATATGAAATATATTCAGTAGGTGATTTCACCTTTGGATATGGACAACTTTGTTGAAATGTTATAGGTAAATAAATAGAAGTACCTGTACTACTCAAATACATTTCATTAATTTCGAAACAAGAAATTATTTTTTTTAATTTTTATTTATTTACAACTAAAAAAAATTATCTAAATAATTTTACAATAATTAATTAATAAAGCTTAATTCCAAAACTATATTTGTACATAAATTCAAAACACAACAAAATACAAAACAAGCACACAAAACTCGCATTGTTGGCAAAACAGAATATCTGATAAGCCACTTTACATGAAATCTGATATAGCACATATTCCATTCGTTACCATGGTTACAACGACACAATAAAATACATTAATATAAAGTATTTAAAAATATTACACATTATAGAAATATTGTTTAAACATCATGTGCAAGTGAAATTTTGGGAAGCAAGACAGAAACTTCAATCACCTCTTTTGGTTTTACAATTCCTCTTTGGTTGAAGCATTGACACGGAATGATTCAAGAATATTCAATTTCTTAGCTAACTCCTGTTTCTTGGCTGCCGATACCTTACCGGCCTTCAGACGTTGTAAACGTTTTATTTCCTGCTCGAAATAATCATCACCCTGAGCCATTAGCTTCTCCATGAATAGCTTATAAATCCCAGCACTTGCTTGTTCCCATTCTTTTTTGAGGGTACCCTTCAATTCTTCAGCCTTTTCTATGCGTTTCTTTTGTTCCTCTTCTGATTGTTTTACGAAATTCTTGGCCAGCTCATTGTACTCCTTGAGACAACCTTCCTTGCCAATAAACAACTCGGTGTTGGTACTAATAAAAGTTTTCAAATTATCCACGGTGACATCCAAATGATCGGGGAAATGTAGAAAATCATTGACACCATGACGGAACAGCATAATACCAGGAAATTTCTTATCGTCGATATTATAACGTTCTCCCAACTCTTTATTTTCATTATCACCATAATCCTTGATGCCTACTGTGCCAATCAACAAGTCATCGGTAACGGAGTGGGCTGCCCTTGAAAAGGCAGCAAAGGCTTCATGTTTCTCACCATACGGAAAGGCAATATCGAATTTTATCAAAGCGTAAGGGAAACGTTCAATGGTTTTATTGAAAATAATATCATCCAAATCCACACAACCCGGACAGGTATTGGCCTCACAGAAGTCGCCCACAAAGAGATACACCAAGCAGAGCAACAAGCATAATTTCCGATTCATATTTCTGGTAATTTCCTGCAAAGCAACACTATACCACGTCGATCTGTTATTAATACACCATAAACTCTATCTTCTTCTTTTTTATCCACTTCGTTTTCTTCTCACAACAGACTTCTCTACCCACAACCGGTAAAATGAAAACTAAACGCTTTACCACTTCTCCATGGAGTTACAAAGCTGTCAGCAAAAAAAAACCAACTGGAACATAGAGTTCGAGAGCTGGTTCAGTTGTTAGTTGTGTGTTTGTTTTTTCAACACAGCAATTATTTAACACTCACACACACACATGTACCCCATTAGCGTTGTTAGCCATCTAAATACTCAAAGTCTACATTAACGAAATGAGAACCACACCACTTAGCCAAGCTCAACTCTCATGAGGGCTAACAGACATTCACATAAACTGGTTTTTATGTTTTACACATTTCTTTCAATACAACCAAGTCAGCAGTTTTCTTTATGGCGGTTTCAGGCCAGACTTAGAATATGAGCTCTTAAGAAGTAGAAGAGAGGACAGAGTAAATAACACATTTTTGAAGTACGACTTAATGATCTCTTATTTTTTTTTTTTTTGAGACTCTCTCTTGCCTGTTGTACATGGATGAAATGTAGAGCTTATGTTTTTATAGAAGACCTGTTAGATTGATTGGAAGACCTATAAAAGGTATTTTTATAAAAAAAACTGTAGAAGACATTATTTATAGAATATCTAGTCCGTCATTTTTAGTTTGAAGGCCTCTACATGGAGGTCTAAAAGGCCTATGTACCATTCATTTTTTCATAAATAGGTCCTCCATAATGCGGGCAATATTTTAAGTTCAGAAGAACTATTTTGTAACGTTTAAACATAGAATGTCTGTAGATCAGCGTTAGGCAGAGAGTAGCACATTTGTGTTCTCCTACGTTTTTATAACCTTCACCACACTATGGTGCAGGATATTATGTCTTTGTGCATATATTTGTAACAGACAAAAGGACACGAGATAGACACATGGTTCCTTTGAAATTATACATACAGGTAGCATTTATGGTCCGAATTGGATGAAATTTGGCACAGCTCATTTATTTGGCCCAAGGACGAACCCTTTTGAAATTGGGAAAAATCGGTACAAATTTAGATATAGCTCCCATAGATTTTCTGTAAATGGTGCACCAAAGCCCCAAAATATGGCCGATTCGCACAAAATTTTGCACATCGTACTGTAGTTACTACATCCAAACATGTGTCAAGTTTTGTAGAAATCGTCTCAGATTTAGATATAGCTCCCATATATAGTTTCGTCCGATTTTCAGTAAAATGGTGCACCAAAGTCCAAAACAGAGCCGATTGGCATTACTGTGTGCAATGATTTGATGAAATGGGTTCAAATTTTAGATATAGCTCCCACGTATAGTTTCGTCCGATTTTCAGTAAAATGGTGCACCATAGATCAAAAATATGGCGATTGGCACACAAATTGGCACAATGTACTGAAGTTAGTATAGTCTAACGTATGTGAACTCTTGTGGATATCGGTTTAGATTTAGATATAGCTCCAAAATATATTTTCGTCCGATTTTATGTAAATGGTGCACCAATACCCCAAACATTGGCCTATTGACACCAAAATAAAAATTGCATATATATATTTTACTCAGTTTTTAAGAACATGGTGCACAAACTAATCATGCTTGTCCGGTTGACACGACATTTCATTGGGCTGAAAATTTTCCTGCCATAACATTTTGACCCGTATTTCGGGATAGCCACGATATAATGGAGATTACATTATTCGGTATTTTGGGGAATTTGGTCATGTTTTTATACCCTTCACCAAAAGGTAGAGGGTATGTTAAATTTGTCATTTCGTTTGCAACATCTCAAAATATTCACCAGAGACCCCACGAAAAATATATATTCTCGATCAGAATAATATTCTATGTCTATTTACGCACGTCCGTCGTCTGTCCGTCTGTTGAAATCACGATAGAGATCGCAATATTTAAGATAGAGCTCTGAAATTTTGCACAATCATTTCGAGTACTCCTAGGATTTTAGGTATTGTAAATGGCATATATCGGTCCACGTTTTGGTGTAGCCCCCATATAACGGTACCCCTGAATATTCCGTATTTTGGGGATTTTAAACAGGTTTTCCAATCGAATTGGATGTAATTTGCTACTTTGAATTCCTATTGAATATCCGTATTAAAACTGATTAATATTGACTAAAGTTTCAGGGTAGCCCCCATATATAGGTACCCTCGAATATTCGGTATTTTGTAGATTTTTGGACAGGTTTTCCAGCCAAATTTGCTATTTTGGGTTCTCATTGTATATCACATCTCCATATCAAAAATTAAAATTATTGGCCCAAGTTCAATATATCCCCCATATACCGGTACTCCCCAATATTCGGTATTTTGGACACGGTTTCCAACGGAATTGGCTGTAATTTGGTATTTTTAGTTCTCATTATTAATATTGAGTTGGAAGGTAGTTCCCATATGACGGTACTCCCTAATACTCGGTATTTTGGGGATTCCAACCGAATTGGGTGTTATTTGTTATTTTGGGTTCTCATTGATTAACACATGCCCGTACCAGAAATTATTAATATTGACTCAAGTTTCAGTATAGCCCCCATATGACGGTATCCCCAATATTCGGTATTTTGGACACGTTTTTCAATCAAATTTGCTGCAATTTGATATTTTGGGTTCTCATAACGGCATCACTACACCTCCACACTAAAAATGATTAATATTGAGCCATGTCGGTATTTGAGAATTTTTGACACGTTTTTCAACCGAATTGAAAATATCAATATTGTTCTTCGATTTATTATAGCCCAATATAGCAGTAGGCCCACTATTAGATATTTTGGGAATTTGAATCATCTTTTTCTCACGTATTTTTCGGTATATTCAAGGTTCTATCATTAAATGAGTTTTTTCCTAGGAGCCCCCATTGATTTTCGATATTTTAATTGTCATCCTCATGGTGGAGAGTATAAAAAGTTCGTTTTTACTTGTTTAACTGAAATTAGGTGGAAAAATCTCTATATGGAAATATTAGCCCATGTTTCGGAGAAGGCCCCATATTTTAGATTTTCATTCCTATAAATTGCATTATCGGTCCACGTTATTCTCCATATTAATATATTTATGTCTCTGTTTACTTCTATAGAACATCGTTGTTTGATATTGTCCATGAAAAAGGGCTCCAGTCAAGTTTGAAACACACATTGGGCGCCACTGGTAGATTGAAAGAACGGCGGATATTTCAGAACGTTTCTACCATTCCGTCCTCATTAAATTTTGATGACATCTGCTATCGGTTGATAGCAATGCTTCGTTATTGTTTTTTTTTTTTTAATTTTGTGCAGTCGGATTCGGTAGTATATTGCATATTTCAGAGGAGGTAATCAATCTACACACGATTATCGAACATAACTAAAAAATTAGACCATTTATTATTTTTGTTCTCTTATAGTACGTATTTCCAAAACTACCTTCATATCTCAACACTACATACCAATTCTGACCGCAACAGAAATCTAGCTCTATACAAAATTTGGTACCATTTATTACCTTTAGTTTTCCAAAAATAATTACAAATTTCAGGATTACGGCTCATTGACATTGAAATTCAAATTGTACCAAATTTTGTACACATAAATACGAATTTCCAAAACTACATGCATATCTCAATACTATAAATGCGTTAGTAATTTTTTCCCCATATTTCAGTGTTCCAGATTTATCGGTTCACCCTAATCCAAGTTGTACCGTATATAGTACCATTTAGTACTTTTCGTACATTTTCGTCCTCATTCTAACTAAAATATAAATATTTAGTAATTGTTAGTACTTTTCGTGCCATTATAATATGAATTTCCTAAAACCCAGCCTTATCTGTCACCTTCGAACTTAGAGTTACCCACACCGCACATTTCAAAATGCTAGCTTCGGCCATTTTGCCTGGGCGTTGATAAACATTAAGCCAGGTGCCCCTGATACCTTACGTGATATGTTGCTCAAAAAAGTATCTCTCAGTTATTTACTCTCTCTCATACTTCGTTTTATGATCTTTCTCTCTCTCTCACTCTCGGTTGTTTAATTTCAATCTCTGTTTACAATTTTCATTTACGTTGCTACCATCATTAATTCTGATCTGATTATTCTTCAACTGATGTTTGTTGTTTATTTAGATTTAATGTTTTTTTTTTTTTTTAGAATAGCTTGGACCACGTCAGTCCGAGTATGGATGGCCAAATAATATGATATTCACGTGTGAATGAGTTTATTTTTTTTTTTTTTTTGGTTATTTGTTATTATCGATATAAATCAAAAAATGGTTATTTTTTGTTTTAATTGACACAGATGTTGTTTTAATTATTTAATTTAAATTTGGTTTTGTTTTTTATACATGGAAATGGTATTGAAATCATTGAAAACGTTATTGAAGATATGATGACCTTTTTAATGGTAAATTAATCATAAACTGTTGTTGTTGTTGTAGCAGCCCTATTGCTTTTACACAATGGGCTGAGGTGACAGACGTTGGCCGAGCAAGACTCGGGTCGTTTCGGATCGTAGACCCCTCTGTCGTGGAAACGATCATAAACTGTAGTTTTGTTGGTTATGAAAATTTTTATAGGTTTTTTCCATGCTTTTAGAAAATATTTTTTTTAAAGTGCACTTTGATAAGTACCCCTTGGGAAGATCTTTAATGGAGTTTATATACCCTCCACTATAAGTTGAAGGTAGGCAGAGTGTCAGCAGAAAATATTCGCAGATTCTTTTGAAGTGCATTTTGTTGATAATATTCCCTGGCCGATATGTAATGTTGTTTCAATACACTCCACTATAACGTGTATCGTATATTAAATTTGTCATTTCATTTGCAACACCTCGAAATATTCATTGGAGACCATATATTCTTGATCAGAGTAAATTTATATGTAGTTTTCCCATGTCCGTTTGTCTGTTAAAATCATTTGAATATATGTAGTCATT